CGCTCCCCCCCTCCCACCCCGCTCTCCCCCCCCCCCCGCCCCCCCCTCCCCGCCCCCCCCCCCCCCCCCCCCCCCCCCCCCCCCCCCCCCCACACCCCCCCCCCCACCCCCCCCCACACCCACACCCACACCCACACCCACACCCACACCCACACCCACACCCACACGCACACCCACACCTACACCCACACTCACACCCACACCCACACCCACACCCATACCCACACCCACACCCACACGCACACCCACACCCACACCCACACCCACACCCACTCAACCCTTCATGATAATTGTTACGCTCTTCGTATTGTTATAATAGTAAGATTTATATAGCTTGATACCTGGTGTCGAGTAATAAGGCTTAACTTAATTTTAGGTTAAGCTAAATGGTCGTCCCTACATGTAACCACCATGTACACTTGATACGTATGATATTAATATCAGATTTTTTCAATGACGTAAGCGAACGTGAAAGAAATGGACATTGATTAAATGGAAATCAATCATGTCTCGCAAAATGACTTGATTTTAGTTTAATCTCGAGTCATGATGCTGAAAACAAAAATATTGTTGCATATTTGACAGAAAAAAATTCAGCGCAGCCCCTTTGAAACTAAAATTTTCAACTCAGCTATGTCTTTTTAGTGTCGATAAACAGATGAAAATGCGTAAATTGAAAAATCTCGCATGGGCTATAGTTGTTTTCCAAAATAATCGATCACCAGAGTAAAAATCTCTCTTATTTATTTCTACATTTTCAAAAGAATTTTGTTTTCCGTTTTTGGGTGCTCTACTTTTTTTGTTTCGCATTGTTACTATTCTTTCGTTTTGTTTTCATTTTCGTATTTTTTTTGTAGAACTCACGTATATTTTCGAAGAAAATAGTGAGTGTCAGTTGAAGGTCGAGTTTTTACGGCTCCCCTTCCCCATTACAGACATTGAGAGCTAATCATTGATTAGAAAAAATCACAATGTTAAATCAAGAAAAAAATACGAAAATTAAAGCAAAACGAAAGAATGGCAACAATGCGAAACAAAAAGAAAGTAGAGTGCCAAAAAAAAAATTCTTTTGAAATGTAGAAAGAAATAAGAGAGATTTTCGATGTGATGATCGATTATTTTGGAAAATAGCTACAGTTCATGAGGAATTTTTCATTTTACACATTTTTATCGATTTATTGAGGCTAAAAAGACATAGATGAGTTCCACATTTTAGCTCCAAAGAGGCTCCGCTGAAAAGCTATTTTTTATTTAATATTTTAATTTCTTTTTCTGATCAATAACTGGTTGTTAATGTCTGTAATAGGGAGCAGATGGGTGAAGGGAATGGGGAGCTGAAAAAGCTCGACCTTAAACTTACACTCACTAGTTTCTTCGAATACATACGTGAATTCCACAAAATATATAATCAAAGAAACTATCTGGTAGATTTTAGATTTTCTAAATCATTCACATTCGAATCAGAGTCTATTAAGGGATTAGAATCCCTGAAGCCGGTAACGGTGAAAATCGAAGAAGATAACTGCTTCATCGGAATGTGAATATATTTATTGCGAGAAATACCTTCCATATATATAGATGAACGTGATGGAAAAGTTCATTAGAATAAACAAAATAGGAAAAGTCCAACAATAGTGGTCAGCGTGAAAGAGAAAATCCAAGTGACAAGAACAATATGAAAGGGAAAATTCCATATGTGACAATACAGAAGACATCAAGGGAAAAATCCATATGAGAGGAAAGGAAAGTAAAAGTGAACGCGTTGTGAACGAAAGATGAGCTAGGATTGAAGCATCACGGAGTGGATCATGATCACCTCGTGACAGTGTCATGCTCATTAAATGAGAAAATTTTCACAACACTATTTTGATGGTTTGCATGTTCTACTCTCATTTCATTTTAGAAGTAGTTCCACTCTTAAATCAGAATGGCGATGCAACGGCAGTCATTATCTGATTATAAAATAAATAAACTAAAGATTATTCTGACCGATGCTCGAATACCTGTAGATCCCAACCAGGAGAACGATGTGGAATATTTACGGAAGATAGTCTCGCGAAACTTTTGTGAACCTTTTCGAGCGAATTACAACTCTGAAAATAATAGCCCGAATATTCTTGAAGTGCACCAACAATATTTAGAAAAAATGCATATACTGTCAAAAGCGCTTAATGATTTGACTGAAACACTGGATAACTTGAAAGAAACTCAACTAGAAGCATACGTCAAGGACATTCAAGAATATGAGAAACTCGAAATTGACCGAAATGAAAAGTTTGTCCAGCTACGTAAAGATATACAAAAAGCTGATTGTTCACTGATGTTTATCGGTGATACAGAAGCAGGTAAGTTGAAATATACATGATGCGACCCTAAAAGTGACTGTTGCTTCTTCTATCGAACCAAATGCTATGGTTTCTCTGTTTTTTCCAAGTTAAAATATCTCGTTGAACTTCGCTGTTTTTCTATTTTCGATACTAATGCAAAAACAAAGAATATGTGAGGCTAATTTTGCAATAAATTCCTCAGAAATTGCATTATTTGTCATTGACGGATTCGCTGCAACTTTTCTTCTAATGATTCTCATATTTTATTCCCAATCATCGAAGTAACACATCAGTTACAGAAAGTTTTATTTAGAAATGAAACTTTTTCTCTGAAGTTCATAATTGTCATTCGCATAATCATTAGTTGGTAAATCTGTGAAAAATAGTTCACAAATTGACTGTGTGCTGATTATTTGCTCTTAATTGTAGGATTCGGAGGAGTTTGCTCAAAGTTACGAGTTACGAAAACTAAAGCAGAAATATTTGATTCAAAAAGTATAAAATGTTAACGCTCTCTAATGTTTCAGGCAAGTCAACGCTGATCAACCTTATTGTCCAAAAAGCCATTCTACCAACAGGAGTGATGAAGAACACTGATGCTGTAATTGAATTGTACTACAGCGAAAGTGCTTATTTCTCGACTTTAGCACCGGATGCGAGCTCAGAATTTATTCGCCAATCCGTTGACTTCGATCAGTTTCTTGACAAACCATCAAATGCTCTGAAGTTCTTTTTTTCAAATGATTCACGCGCTTGGTCATTTTTGCACTGTCGGATTGGTTATCCATTACCGTTGTTAGCAAGTGGCATTATTATCCATGATTTACGTGGTCTTAACGATACTGAGGAATTGACCGAGGCTGTGACACAAAATATGAGGACATGCCAAGCATATATTTGTGTGCTCGCCCGTTGTCTAACGAATGCGTCTCGACGAATTCTTCGCCGACTCATTCATTTAGGACGCGAGCCAGCTTCTGTCTTTTTCGTCATCACCCACATGGAAGATTACTCTATGGAAGAGAAAGCAATGATCATTGATAGAATACGTGCAGATTTGGAAAGGATAGACAACGATTTTAAGCATTCTGACATTGTTATTTTCGATCCACACAAAGCTTTCGATAACCTGATTAAACACAATCTGTTAACAATAGACTACTCTGAGTTTATTCTCCGCATAATACCGTTTCTCTCTCGAATTTTATTGTTCAAACAGGATTTATTTAGTGAACGCCTAGGTAAAACTTGCAATTTATTTGTGAATTTTTAAATACGTCTCATTTTCAGGTGATACTTTTCAACGATTATGTGCGTTCATTGAAACTATTCGTTACCGAGCTGTATCCACCATGGAAAAATGTAAGAAGGAGACAGAAAAAACCAAGCAACGACGACTTCATTTTCAAAAAGACCACCACCGATTAATGTTGAAGTGTCACGATTTCATAGATCATTTACTTAAGAAAGCAACTGATAATATCGTCAGTGAATTGAAGACTGAAGAATTCGATAATCGTTTCAGAGCATCTATGATAAGCATTCCACGCAATCAAAACATTGGAGAACAGTTCAGATCGAATCAAGAGTTGAACAGAGAGTTAGTTACAAGAGAACTTGAATCATATCGGCAATATCTTCAAAATGAGTTTGAGCGCTGCACAACAGAAGGGCTAGCACCATTGCTGAACAATTTAGCGTCGATGGCTATTCATAAATTGAGACAAATGTTTTGTGATGATCTTTGCTTGTCATCTGACGAAAGCAGCAGTTTTCTCGAACGGCTACAAGCCATGTACTTCAAAACTATGTTGAAATATCATCAATCTATTCTGATGAATATGTTGCGAAGTCTTCGACGACAATTAATCAAATTCACTGAAGTCTTTTTGTCTTATCATCTTATCAAGACCCCAGTGATCGCCTCCTCAACTTCCGACGCACCCTTGGATCGTAATAGTTCAGCGCTGGCTAAACGCAATCGACGACCAAAGTTTCTTCAAAAGCTGGCACAAGAATTTTCTAAGGAATTGCGCCAGCTTAGTAAGTCAAGCTCAACCGAGAAACGACAGCAAGATCTCAATCAGCTTCAAGAATGTACCAGGGATACTATGAACGTCTTCGAGAAGCTCTATGTCGGAACTACGGAGCAAATGGACGAAAATACAAATCAATGTAAGGAAGCGACTGCTGTATTAGCATGGTGCAATCATTATCAAGAAGAAACAATCTTACCACTTCGTTCTACTCTCAATAGCTTATTAGCATCGCATTTTGACCGTTGGTCACTCTCAGCAGACATGATTTACTCAAAAAAGCCTGCAAATGGTCTGTCAAATGATGAAATGAACCACGTATTTAAAGCTAAACTTAAGTATACACGAACGTGTACACCAATCCCAGTTTACTTACGTCGATTATCGGGGGATTTTTGTGCTTTGCATGTCTGCAATCAAACTCGTTCAATAGATAAGCTTCGCCATCCTAATATACTACATTGTTATGGAGCATATCGCGAAGGAAATGATGTTTATGTTGTGACTGAACCTTGGAAAATGTTATTAAAAACGGCAATAAATGGAAATTGGAACCTCAGTCTTGAGCAAAGTCTTCAAATGGCTGTCGAACTGACGGAACTTTGTTCACAGATGCCTCTCATAATCTCTAATGAACAATTGACACCAGACAAGCTCGTTATCGGAAAAGAAAGTCATATCAAAGTGAATTTGTTGACATATAGACTTCTAGCAGTCTTTCAGAGTGACAACGACCATGATGAGTTGAAAAGACAGACGCGAATTGTTCATGCACTCGGCATAATCTTTAATAGTCTTTTTAAACACCATGAAGATAACAGCAGGACTGCTCAATCACTGCGTTCACTCATCAATCATTGTGTTAAACAAACGAAGAAGAACAGTGATCAACAGCTACCTTTAAGGCAAATTTTATACAATTTAAAAATTCACCAAGTAAGTCGAAACATCGACGAGATAATATCTATTGTTAGCTTTCTCATTTTGTTGAACTCGTATAGATTTTTTGAAGCTAGATAGTGAATGTAGATGTTAGGTCGATAATTTGGGACTGCTGTTCCTACATCTTTATAGCAACCGGTATCAAATATCAAAGGTCAGGCAACACAAAACTAGAAGTGTCGCTTCAGTCTTCGGTTCCTTGAAATAAGAACTCGAGATGTATTCCAGTTCCCAAAAATGGGGAACTCAACATTTACATAAAATGATAAGAAAAAACAGCAAACAACCTGGGTATATTGAAACAATGCTAAAAAAGTCAGTATAAGATGCATTCTGTTTTCTTGAAAACAGGGTGATCAAGAACAAGAACATAGGCAACCCTTCTGCAGCGGATACACAAACAGTGAGATAATAAATTGTGTATTGCGTAGCCAGCGATGCCGTTACTTTTGTGTTTTTTTCACGTTTCACAACTGTTTTTGTTAGAGATGCTACCACGTGACAGCAATGAGAAAGTTTCTGTGGATACTTGCTTAGATATACGATGTACTGATCCCAAAATAAGAAATAAAGAGCTTCAGATGTTTGGAACTTCAGGGTTTTCTGAACTGAAACTATTCTAATTATATATCCATTCTGATGATGAATATTTCTGTAAAGAGATGTCTACGGTCTTCGATAAGGAATATCGAAAAAAGTTCCAAATGGAGAATCACATGTTCTTGTTTAAAATGTGAGTTCGAATACGTTTAGAATATTTTCAAATGACTTGAGTTTTATAGACACTAAATTTGAGGTATGAATCAGAGATGATGGCTTCCGTATTCTCCATCTAACTCAATTCTGATACGAGCATTAGGGTGATGTCATGCCACAAATTACATTTCCAAGTAAACGGATAGGTACGATGAGAATTACATTAATTGGACTTCGTAAGACGAGCACTAATGAAGATCGCTTGCTAAGCTTTCCAGTGAATTTTTTCATCGGATTGAAGATTACAGATAGGACCTCGAAGTGGCAAATATCAGCGTCCAAACGATGTCATATTTCAGTGATTTTTATTGGAAACTGATAGTTTCCTCCCAAACTCGATTATGTTGATAACCCGCTAGATCAATTCATTTCTGTACCGGACCGAAATTTGAAAATGAGTGGATGCCTGAGAGCAATTGTGATTTTAATACTTATTCACAATAGACCCTCATAGCAATGTACTCATACATCTCCACACACGGAAACAGTACACACTGACAAAAAATATTTCAATTACCTTTTATAATTGGTGCTCTTTCAGTATAAAGATTAATTGAAACAGTCGTCGAAATCCTGTGGGGAAGTGGCTATTTGCATTATGGCCTGAATGAAGACAAAGTGGACTGTCGGAAAATCGACTTTTGGTAAAGAGAAGTGGAATTCTCAGCCACTAATCCATCCATTGATATAATCGCACTCGTTCATACACACATGGCCTGCTCTCTCAGACATTTCTTGGATTAGAATTTTTGATAATTTATTAGATTAAGAATTCTTTTGAAATCCACGAGGCTAAAAGTCTGATTTTGACCTCAGTACATGTTTCGGCAGATTTCTTTGGAACTTGAAAAGGTTCAGATGTTGCTTCTGTCATATTGCAACCATTTGTCATCAACATGACGAGGGAGTACATGCTAAATTAAGGATTTAAAATCGTGTTCTATAGCTTTTTATCATAACTATAGTGCTCAAAACCTACTCGATCGTGCTATGCATATCGCATGGATGTTGGATCTTTTCTTTATTCATTCTATTTTCCATAGCTTAACCTACAATTTCCTGATTTCGCATTGCATAATTTCATTGGAATCAAAGAAAAAAGACGTGGTTTGCTGGCGATTGATGGTGGCGGTTCTCGAGGGATAATTGCTGCGAAAATTTTAGAACATCTTGAAAGCGCCATTGGTAAACCACTATGGGATTGCTTTGATTATGCCGCTGGTGTTAGCACTGGTGGTTTGTTGGTCTTGTCCGCTTTGCTGAGACGGACACCATCGAATCAGCTTGTACCTATGTATCTAGATTTGTGCGACAAAATATTTCCATCTCGTTTCTCACGTTTTGGTGCCTATTCAGCAATACCACTGGAATTAGAGTTGGAAAAACACTTTGGTGAAACACGAATGAAACGTCTTGACCATAAAGCACCCCATGTGTTTGTTGTAACCAAACGAAACTATGAACCTGAGCCGTATCTCTTGCGAAACTACGATGTACCAGATAATGTGGCCACGTTCAAAGGTGAATCTGGCTGGTTATGTTCGAAGGCAGCACGAGCGACCTCTGCAGCACCAACGTTTTTCCGACCTGTTGAACGTGATAGTATTCAGTATACAGATGGTGCAATGGGTTTTGATAACCCGGTTCTGCTACTCTTCAAAGAGATGATCCTTTTATTGTCCGAATCGGGTAATGGTACCGAAGACGAAAATCGGTGTCTGCCCAATATTGACTACATTGTTAGCATTGGTACGGGTAAGATGGATGGTTGGCCAGCACCTACGAGCTCACCAAAGTCCGGCATATCGCGTGTTTTTGAAACAGTGCAGTTAGCTGTCGAATTACTTACCGATTTTGAAAATTCACATCATCAAATGCAGATGCTGGCCAAGGCGTGTGGTAATATTCCGTACTTTCGCTTCAATCCTGAACTGCCTGAACGAGTTCCATTGGACATACGAACAAAGGCCGAGCTCGACAAATTAGTCAATCTCACTACAGACTATTTGAGTGATCATAACAGTGGTATACCCGAGCAAATTGAACAGCTTAGAGATCTTGTCAACAGCAAATGAACCGTAAGACATAGACGCATGCAAGCACTCCAGTATCTTTTATTTATAGTGGGACTGTACAAAGAATTTAGTGTATAAAACATTGGCTATAAACTTCTGGTTTTCTCTTCTAGGGCATACGTCCAATTTTCTTAAATGTAACTTATCATGCTAAAACACTCGACCGAGAACTGAAACGAGAACAATACAGATTAGTAACGATTGAGTAAACATTGCTATTCATTTCAATAAAATGCACGTGTAAACGTCTGAGTATCCTTTGTTTACTCACACCCACTCACCCTCAAATAAGCACCTACCAATGTCTTGCGAGAACGACATTTCTCCATTCCCGCTGTATAAAATTTCATTATCGATTATGTAAAAAATATTATGTTTTCGCTTCCTTAAGACATTCAAAATTCTTGTTATGGATTCATTTGCCAGGTTTCGTTTAAAGTATCATTGTCAAACACTAGCTTCTGTTGAAATCTCACTTCGATCAGTATGAATTGACCTTAAATGGAAAGCAAAATTATCCTGCCGGTGGCAGTGTGCGTTGTCAAAAAGATCAGTTGGTTTTTATATTTTGAAATTTTAGAACTTTAGTTTTAGAGAATTCTTTCCTTCAACCATGCAACAATCGAAAAAATGCAAAAAACATACTAATATCGGTGCCAGAAGTCAGTGCACTGGGATGTTTTTTTGAATAACTTTTGATAGGAACAACATAGAGACCTGCGGTTTTCAACGTTTGGCAGCCAAGACCCAAGAGCATACTTTCATAAACAAGAAGTGTTTTTAGAAGAAACTCGAACACTGGTTTGTCTAAAGATCTTTGAAAGACAAGGCTGGATTTCTGAAACAATACCATAGCAGTCTATTGATTCGTTTACATATTCGGAATCACCATCAAAAACTAACTCGACTAATGTATCTTTCGAACATTTTTTCGAATTTTTTCTTTCGTCGAAAAATGCAGCGCTGATGCCCTCATGCCTAGGTTACAAAATGACGTCAGTCAAAAAGTCACTCGGATAGCGGAAAACAAGTTCGGAGATTATAAAATCGCAGTCGCGCATAAAATGGCAAATGAATAAGCAATAAAAACGGCCTTTCGACTGACATCATTTTATAACCTAGCCGTCAGGGGGGAGGGGGGCGAGCGGTGAATTTTTTGATCAAAACAAAAGATCGCGAAAAGATTCGAAATATATATTAGTCGATTCAGGGTGTCGGTGTGGATATGCGGGTGTTGGTATGAGTGTTTATGCATTTCAGGGTAATCATGATCACCAATACTTCAACAACTCAACATATACTCAGTCAGACCCCAGACCCACACCCACACCCCGACAGGCTCAAGCCATGTACAGTACTTGAGAATTAAACATCTAAAAAATATAAAAACAAAGGAATTAGAGCAAGTATAGATAGATAGAGAATGATGTCAATAATAATTAATACTGTATTCATGAGGTTACGTAATGATCAATTATTAGTCGTGAGCTGTCATATTACTTTCGTTTCGTATTATCACTAACGCTTCGAATGAGCTGAGACAACTTTATCCCACACGATTGTACGAAATTTCTTTGAAGTGCTCTATGGGACGGAATACGATGAATATCCGACGTCATGGAGTACGATGGTGTCATTAATAACTTCAATGATATATGATGAGACAGAACATTTTTTTAATAGTTCCTTTGTATACAATTTCACAAAGTTTTCTCATCTGATCCCATTTGAAGCTCTACTGTATACTAATGCATAAAAAGACTTCATTTACACAAAATAAGCATTAAACTTTCTTAGCTTGATCAATCATCATTTTTACTGATTTTACATTTTCTTGTAGTCTTCTAAAAATAGCGAATTAAAGGATTATAACATAAGTAATCGAATTCAAAATAAAAAGACACTTTTTAGTCCAGATTCCTCTAAAGATAAGTGAAAAACTGTGTAAAAAAGGCAAGCAGAAAGGAAATCAATAAAAGATTTTTAAAAAAAGCAAGCGAAAGACGATTATTATAAGCGACAGTATCTGAATCCATCAAAGAACATTAAACCTTCACTAACAGCTCAATTAGTTGTAATAGAAAGAATTTATATACAGACGTTAAATTAGAACAAATATCTCATGTAAGTCGGATTAAACGTTCAAACATTATCCGCTAATGGATATGAAGAATGAGCGAAAAGTTGATCTTTATATTGATTGTCTAACCAAATGAAAGATATGCTACCAACATCAAATGAAGTAATTAGCTTTCGTTCGTCTTGTGGTAATTACACTTCTAAAAACACAATCTAATGTATTTAATTTATATTTATGTCAAAATTGTAATTATGTAACAAAAATTTGCACCTGACTATAAAAAAAATTCCGATCAATCATGATTAATCGTCCCAATTTTTCGACGATTACGATTAATCGATTTTCGTATTAATATAATTATAAAATCTGATTTTATCGTTGATTTTCCAGGCTAATACGATTAATCGCGATTTTACGTGAATTTTTGTGAAAATCGCCAAAATCACTGCGATTTTCGCGGCATGGGCTCTCATTCAAATTCTTTTTTATTATTCAAATAACAATTTTTTTAAATTTCTTTGTTCTTATTGTTTTAATATTTCTTATCTTTAATAAAAATTTCAAAAACAAGAAAAAGAATTAATATATTTTTGAAAAAAAGCAATTCATCATTATTTTTACTCTTAGCATTATTATTATTATTATTATTATTATATATAAAGAAATGTGTTGGCTTATTAAATTTAAACATCCTCAAACCCTGACCCTAACCATCAAGATAGTCTGTACATGCGTCTCTCATCCTCTCTTTATATGTTAGAAAATATCCACAAGCAATGATTACGTGTAAGACGAATGACGAAAATCGTATGTATGCATGCTCTAGTATCTGATTACCTGCACATGTTTCGTTAATGTAAGAGAGCTGGCCAATGTATTCTTATTTTTTTCTCTCTATACAATAATAAACGATTCTCTTCCATGTGTAAGAAGAAAAAAAAAGTTGCCTACGGATTATTCTATATGACTGCTTGCTTTTTTTTTACTAAGGTGAAAACAGCAATCTCTGCGTCAGAGATCACTGTTATAAAAAAGGATGATAAACGTGCTTCGCTTCACATTCTTTTTAGTCTTTTGCATTCTCTCTTTTTTTGACTGCAATTATCCTGAGCATTATTTAACGGTAACTACGATTGCACTATTTGTATTTAGTCTGCGCTATTTAGATGATATCTGCTCATGTTAGAGGTCGTTGCAGTGATGAATAGCGTGATTCCGCATCCTGTTATATTTTCATTCTTGCGAATAAGCAAGAAGATCAGTAGCTAACGAACGAGTCGAGAAAACGGAAGGTGTGTCCATGTTCTTTAAGACCTTTTTGCACCATCTATCTTCGTGATTTGAATGTTGTGCTCTACTTTTTGTACATAAGTATTATTTACAAACATGCTGGTCGATTCTTGCTTGAAGCTTTAGTTCGTGTAGCAGAATTGACTGCAACTTTGCCTTAGATATTTTTTGTCGTTGACATAATATTCTTTGCATACATGTGATGAAATAAAATAAAGAAATTTTTTCATCTAATGTAATTTAAACAGAAGTAGATACAGTAGTTCAGAGTTGCCAGGTGCTCCAAAACAATATTCAATACATTTGTATTTGATACAACTCGATCAAGTAATTTTTGTGATAATAATATGACGCAGGTTAAACAAAACTTTTAAATTCGAAGTCAGTAATTACACTAGAATCTGAAAAATATAGAAGAGATTAGAATTGGAGCCGCCATTGCCGATGCTATTTTGACTAAAGCATGACAGAGATGGAGCCAGTTCGATTTGTTGAAGTTCGATGCCAATACTAGTTTGAATAGGTCAGACTTGACTGAGCCGGCCGGTCTATCAGCAATTGAGTGGTATACCAGCAACTGGCCTATCTGATATTTGCAACAACGCAACTTCTGGTCATTGTCGATACTGATTCTCTTTTAGGACAGTGTTATTTGACATGGCCAGGTTTTAAAAAAATCTCATTACAAGTTCTCCATGAGTTACTACAAAAACCAATAGAAGTTATGAGTAAGCTAATATTATAAGAGTATTAAAGTAAATAAGATCGGTCTACAGATGCCCGGCTGATGTAAAGGTAACGCCCAGTCTACTAGCAGACCAACGGATCTGAAATTCGTAACGGTACCGGTTCCATCTCTGAAGCATAAATGCAACAGACAAAGACATCCCATTTCCTCTTGTGCATTTATACAGGCAGAACAGTCTTCTATCTGATGTTTGATTAGCTCATTTTCCTTGACTCATCAAAAAGACAAACACAAAAACTGTACATTTCTCTTCAACTGCTCATACAACCAAGTGCCTCTCGAAGAGATCGCAATTGGGGCAGTGAGATCACCAACAGAGCTGAATGAAATTTATTTACTCCACTGTGAAAAATGAAATACTTTCAAGGATTGGCATAACATTCTCGTGCTCCCGACAGCTGTTCCCTAGCCGAAACACTCTTGTAAACAATGATAGGTAGTATCAATGTCTAGAATTAGGACGTAAAAAAGCATGACATAGTAAGTTCCTATTTCCATGAAATTCAAATAAAAAAATGATGAGAAAAATTTCAAGGAAATTCAAATCAGTAGCTCGAGAAAAACTAAGGGCAGTCCAAAAGTAGTGAGAGTGGTACTTTAGTTCCTTGCAAAAAGCTTAAAGAAACTGTCTCTCTATATAGTCTGATAGAGAAAAGAATGCTCTATTTTTCTATGCTATTTGATCATACTTCAACTAATATCATAATAAAAAAAATTCGATAAGATCTGTTTCCTTATCATATGCGCCGGTTGTATTAATACTCATTTTTAAAAAAAGCGAGTGAGTATTTTTTGAATAACTTTTGATAGAAACAAGATAGAGAACTGCGATTTTCTCCGTTGGGAAGAGGAAATGAAGACGCATCGAATCGTATATTCCAA